TCAGAGTCCTCTCGCAGTGAATGCAGAGGGACTGAAGGGACAGGGGGAGCGTGAGGTCATGCTGCTGGTGGCCACCAGAGAGAGGAAGCAGCAGAGCTCCCAGGGCACTTGGCCGAGCGCGCCGTGTGGGCCAGGCGCCCGTGAGCGATGGCCGCGGACAGTCTTCCCGGGCCGTCTCAAGTGTCTCTTCTTTGTTTTCATCGCCATTTACGTCCACCATCAGCACAAATGTGAAAAATTCAGGGAAAACAAATGCTTTTTGATAAAAGTAAATAGTTGTGATTTCCGATTCAGATATTTTTAGAGCTGATGCTATCTGTAAAAACTAATAATAATAATATAGTCTATTTTACATACCAGGAAAGTGAACGTGTTTAAATATAGCCATATTTAGTGAGAAGGAACTTACCACCCCTTCTTCAAATCGAGGCATTTCATTTGTTGGTTGAAGCAGATGAGAAGTGTACAGATTGGAAATGATTTCATTCTTTCTTTTTTCTAAACTAATAACCAATTGGTGCAACTCTCCTTGTAACCAAAGGCCCTTTCTGCCTTGTGTGGTCACGCAGGACCTGGCCCTTCCTCCCTCGTGTAATTTGTCTGACTAACTTAAAGTAGCATTTTATTGAGTCACTTTTGAAGGACGAATTCAGAAGTCTTGTAAGAACCTACCTTTTCAGGCTGAATAGCCAGAGTCCTATAGAGTTCTTATAGAAACAGAATAATTGAAACTCAGCATATACTATGCTTAGAAAGTATTGCATTTTGTTTGTTTGTTTTTCTTTTACTTGTGTGTGTATTGTGGGAAGATTTTACCCTGTGCCCGATTCAAAGTAAGAGCATTGTTAGTTTGGGCTCCCACCTGCCAAAAAGGGACACACCCAGGTTGTTAATATGTGTACCCCTTCCTGCACCTGTGTCATGCACTGGGATATCTGCCTGAGGGGCTCCACTGAGGAGCCAACCTTGATAGATGGGTCTGGATGGAGGAAAGGAAACAATGGTTGGGAGGTAAATAACTGCTTGGTGGTCTGAACCAACTAAAGTAGGAAAAAAACCATCAACCCAAAGAAACACAGCTAGGGACTGGAGGAGAACGACCCTGGTCCCTTTGCTGAATTCAGAAACATCAAGAACTCAGAACTTGAGTTCCAACCTTCACTATTGGGAAACAGGGCTAGGGACCAGGTATCTGTGTGTCCCCATCATATGGGGGAAGAGTCTGCGACCAGCAGAGACAGGTGGGCAAGCTCTGGAGTAGTCAGCTTATTCACCTTTTTATCTTTGGGTAAAGAAATAAAAACAGGACTTGGGTGCAGTAGATTTCTCAGTGCCTTCTCGAGGAATTCTATCTTAAGCACACTTAATGGGGAAAGAAAAACAAGAGAACCTTTGTTCCCATGCAGCCCCTCTGTCTAAAAGCCCTGGGGATCAAGGAGGAAGAAGATGGGGCATAGCAGAATCCTGAGGAGTCCATTTCCTTTCAGCACACCTGGCTTGCCCCCTAAAAACTGCTGGTGATACAAACCTCTTCAACCTGATTCCCAGTCTCTCCACCACCACGTCTTAGTAACTCTAGCCTCATCCCAGCCCATCCTCCTAATAAGATCCACGTTTCTAAGGAGAAAAAAAACAAAGTAGTATTCTCTTCTGCAAAACTGTAATGTATTGTTGATGTTTGTAACTATTGTGTATTTCTGTCTTGCTCCAAGTCATGGCTGGAAGGTCTAGTCCAAGGACAAGGGGAAACTTAAAATTCACCATGGACAAGGGTCTTTAGAGCCAGCTCTCTCTCTCTTTCTCTCTGCTTTCTTTATTTCTCTGCCAACTAGTCTCAAGTAACAGACCCCAGGCTTCAACATTGTCAAGAAACTTTGAATCAAATAAGAGCTTAGCCAAATGCCTCTAGGACATGATACTTTGGGGAATGACTTTTCCTGGAGCTGCAAAGTTAGCAGGAGGAAGAAGGGGGCTCCCCTGAGTGGCCCAGCAGGGCATAGAGAGCCTCCAGCCCTGAGCTGAAGTTTCCTCACCTCTCACTGCTTATATGACAGCATCCAAACGCTTTCACTCAGCCAAGGCGAACCAAACCTGCCCTGGCTATACCCAGAAAAAAGAGTTACCTCTGCATTTTCTGTTGCCATTTTTCTGGCTCTAGATGTATCTGATGCATAATTATATCTATAGGATGTCTACGTATCTCAGAGTCACCTACTTTTCTCTTCAAATAAAAAGCATGTGTGTGTATATGTGTGTGTGTGTGTCTGTGTACACACACACACATATATATGTATTTTTAGCAAATTTATAAGAGGGCCATTAAATCTAATTCCTTCTTTTGTAATATAGAATAACATCTTAGGAGTTTTATTGTTGGTCATTATCATAGCTGATATCTTCTGGTCTTTTTCATTTCTTCCCATTGCCCCTTAGGCTTTTTTTCTTTTCTCTTTTGATTCTGATTTTCTGGGGTTGGGGAAAGAGACTTTGGGATCTGACATCTTTGTGCAGGCAGAGGCTGTTACTTGCTGCATTCTGTCCATGTGCTTCTATCCAGTGTTCTTGAGAATCCAGGAATGGATGCAGGAGTGAGACCAAGGAAAGCAGGGCTACAGATGGCCCTCAAAATCAGGACGAAATGTGGGCTGGTTCAGCTCATTGCCCACAGATCTGATGGGACTGTTTTCTCATCCCCAGCGATCTTGGAACCAAAAATCTCATGCAAGGAAACTTCCCACTGGCATTTATGAGGTCCAGAACACACTTACGCCTCTTTTGGTTGGCCTGTTGCCATGTCTAGTGCCCCACTACCGGTAACATGCTTTGGAACTGAAGGATGGACCATCCTCAGGTTCCTGAGAACACGCTAGGCCTCATATCTCATCAACCTTATCAGTTCCTCATTTTGGTCCATTTCCACAACCTCACCAAAAAGCAGTGGCCAGGCAAGCTTGCAGCCAAACCCTGAGAAGATCTGTCCCCAGGATCTTCCATCTCATCCCCGCTTCCTCTTCTAGCTGCCGGACCCCACAGAGCCAGAGATTCATGGCAAGGGCGGGCAGTGGTATTTTTCCAACTTCCACCCATCCAGGTGCCAAGGAGTTTCTGGACTGTCATAATTAATTCTACCAGGCAGTTTCCAGCCTCAGGTAAGCAAAAGACAGCTCACAAAGCGTGATCTTCAGAAGTGATTGTCCACCCATCAGTTCTTGCAGGAAGATGAAGAAAGGCCACATGATCTCCAGTTTATATTTATGTGGGTTTTCATATCCCACCTGCCTCATTGTCAGCTTCAGGACTCCCACCTCTGCCCAGATCAGACATCTAAGCCAAATAAGGACTCCCAGATGGCAGTGAACCACAGCCATTGGATAAACCCTAAAAGGAAACCAATTCAAGTACAAATGGGTGATTCTGGACTATGACCCCCATCAGAGTTTTCCCACCCCCAAAATTCCTGGTAATCTGGGTTGAACCAGAACCAAATAAAACAGACAAGATTTTTCTAAAATTTTGCACAAGAACGAAACAAAAATTGTTTCCCAGTGGTTTGCTAGGCTAGATGCCCAGATGAGTGGACACTCTCGCCTCTGGCTGTTTTCATCTAGAAACAGTTTGTATAGTTAGAGTTTCCATCCACTGCCTCTGATATTGTCTTGACCTGTAATTTCTCCTGAGCATCCCCAAATATCAACGTGAAGAAATTAATTTGAAATTCAGGAGTCCCTCATCTTCCCCTCCCTGCAAAGATCTTGAGATCTAAAGGCTGCCCGGGGTAGGACGGAATAAGGCAGTTCACCCGAGGAGGAAGCCGTCTGCCTGCAGGGCGGCTGCGTGCAAGTCTCTGAACTTCCTCTGGCAGGAGAGACCAAGGAAATTTCAGCTCAAATGAAGGAAGTGCTTTTAATAAGTGGAGCTGCCTAACCGTGGAACTCGATGCCAGATGGGGTGATGAGCACCCCGCAGGTGTTCAAGAGAAGGAAGATGATGTGCAAAATGGATGTTGTACAGAGACCCTAGCATTTCATAGTGACTCGATGATCAGGGAAATCTGCCCCCTCCGCACATGTGCACGTGTGTGTGTGTGTGTGTGTGTGTGTGTGTGTGTGTGTGTGTGT